ACAACTGGTTATTCTTATTTGAAATCCATCAGCAGTGTATGAAAAGTACCTATCACTCATAAGCTTGAAACATTTTGATATTACATTTTCTTTCTTTTTTTTTCTTTTTTTTTTTTTTTTTTTTTTTTTTTGAGACAGGCTCTTGCTCTGTCACCCAGGCTGGAATGCAATGCATGATCTCAGCTCACTGCAACCTCCACCTCCTAGGTTCAAATTATTCTCCCACCTCAGCCTCCCAGGTAACTGAAACTACAGGCGCACACCACCACACCCAGCTAATTTTTGTATTTTTAGTAGAGATGGGATTTCACCATGTTGGCTAGGCTGATCTTGAACTCCTGACCTCAGTTGATCTGCCACCTTGGCCTCCCAAAGTGCTGGGATTACAAGTGTCAGCCACCACACCTGGCCTTGGTATTATAAATTTTAATGGCAGTATGACATATAAAATTGTTATACTGGTGTATTTGTCTGTTTTCGTGCTGCTGATAAAGGCATACCAAATACTGCTCAATTTACAAAAGAAAGAAGTTTATTGGGCTCACAGTTCCATGTGGCTGGGGAGGCCTCAAAATCATGGTGGAAGGCAAGGGGTAGCAAGTCACGTCTTACATGGATGGAAGCAGGCAAAGAAAGCTTGTGCAGGAACCCTGCCCCCCCTTATAATAACCATCAGATCTCATGAGACTTACTCACTATCACAAGAATAGCACAGGAAAGACCTGCACTCTTGATTCAGTTACCTCCCACCAGGTCCCTCCCACAACATGTGGGAATTCAAGATGAGATTTGGGTGGGGACACAGTCAAACCATATCAACTGATCCAACAATATTTTGGATTTCCTAAGATGGCAAATGTTTATTAGTGATTTGTATTTTTGTGGATTTTCTGCTTAGGATCTTTTGTTATTTTTCCATTGTTGTATTAGTATTTTTCTTACAGAATAGGGTGTTAGGTAGACTTTTCTACTCTCTTCAATCTAGGTTTAGACTTAAAGCTGAAGTCCAGAGGTTCCAAGTAACCTACATGCTAAAGAAAGACATAAAAATACCATCAAATTTGTGAACAGAGAGTTTTCCTTACCCTCAAGGTTTACAAAAATAGCCCTACAGCCTCTTCCCACCCCCATCTGCCACTCCATACAAAGTACAGGGTTAAGAAGTAAGAATAATACAATTCAGAGACTAGTTATTTTGGCAATTCAAGAACTATTTTTGTAGCATTTTTCTAATCCCTATACCCATTTCTTGAAGTCACTCCTAGTAGCCAGAAACTCAGCTTTTGGTGGTACTAGGAATGGAGACATGACCTGGTGGTTTGAAACTATGCAGGGCACAATTAATTAAAAAAATAACCAGCCCGGGCGCAGTGGCTCACGCCTGTAATCCCAGCACTTTGGGAGGTCGAGGCTGGGGGATTACAAGGACAGGAGTTCAAGACCAGCCTGGCCAACATGGTGAAACCCCGTCTCTACTAAAAATACAAAAATTAGCTGGGCATGGTGGCAGGTGCCTGTAATCCTAGCTACTCAGGAGGCTGAGGCAGGAGAATTGCTTGAAACTGGAAGGTGGAGGTTGCAGTGAGCCCAGATCTTGCCACTGTACTCCAGCTTGGGCAACAAGAGTGAAACTCCAACTCAAAAAATAAAATAAAATAAAATAAAAAACCAGAAGATTTTGGAATCTGCCCAAGAGTGTGCTAAGGGATGAAAAAGAAATTTTGACACAGTACATTTTCAAACAATAGTTAAAAAAAAAAAAACGATTTCATTTCTATACCCAAACAAGTAGAAATAACTCAATGATCTATTATACTTATTAAAATAATTTAAAGTGCTATTTCTGACAGTGTTAATATGTGTTGAAATAGTTTTCTCAATTTGTCTTTTGCCTTTTATTTAAATTTGTTATTCAATATACTGTGTTACATTAAAACTATTAGCCTAACTTGCACTTTAAATGAACCTTTTACCATTCATGATTTTGTAACATCATGCTTTGAACATTTGGAAAATACTGCATTACTGAATTATTCAAACCTTCCAAGTAGTGACACATTTCATGATACGATAAAATAAAATGACAATCACTAATATCACACTAACAATATTTTTAGCATCTTAATTCTGAAGTTTTCATGCTCAGAGTACTGGATAGTTTTCCAAAACACTAACTTTTAGTTGAAAGCTTAAATTTTTTTTTTTTTTTTATTGATAACAAAATACTGTCAGTTGTTTTCCTTGAGATGACAGGCTTACTTCATTCATTTTTGAGAAAATGTCTGCCAAATATCCAAGTCTGAATAATCCTAATTTGTCTGTCAATTGTTCTTTCAAGTAAAACTAGTGCCCCATGAAAAAAATCAGCTAGTTTGGCTCACAACTTCATCACACAAGTGCTTTTCCACAAGACAAATATTGTATTTTTGTATGCAGCAAAAGTGCTATATGAATGACTTATTTGCCACACAGCATATTTAGAAGCCATGTACTAAAGAGTTAATATTTAATCAAATTAGTTGGGCATGGTAGCATTTACTTGTAGTCCCAGCTACTTGGGAAGCTGAGACAGGAGGATTCCTTGAGCCCAGGAATTCGGGTCCAGCCCGGGTAACACAGCAAGATTCCATCTCAAAAAAATAATTAGTAAGTAATCATTTTTACTACCTCATCAGTATATTCTTGATGTGAAACTACATTTTTTTCTGAGTCCCCAGTGGCAAAGAATCTTAGAACTCAGTACAGTTTGGTGCCCCTGCCTTGATTTGTGCTAAGGAGACAGAGGTTTGACCCAGCATTGCTTTTGCATTATCAGTATAAATGTAAACACAAAAAATGGCAAGTAATGTCTTAGTTCTGTTTTAAAAATTGTTCTGGCCTTATAGATCCCCTGAAAGGGTCTTGGAGATCCCTATGGTTTCATGGGTCATACTTGAAGAAACACTATTATGTGTGATACCATGATAGTGAGTGAAATATTCATAGGTTAATTGATGGTGATGCTGACAGACATTTCAGACAAGTAACACAAATTTTAAAGCCAAATTTATCCAAAGTGACAGTATAGTCAAGAAAATCAACCTGCCACCAGATTGGTAACTGGTCTCCCAGGAGAATCCTGCTCTTTCAGAGGCTCAGCTAGGCTACTGGCCAGGCAAGCACTCAGCAGTGACATTAATCTGATTAGCCTTGATGAGAGTTCATGTTGTTGAACCCATGTGTAATCTCCATTCCTGTTGTCAAGGCCACTTTGTTCATAAGCCCTTGATGAAGCACTTATTGATGAAGCTAGAAGCTGGATGTTATGCATACAATGGGTCTTCTTGTCTAGCTGGTAACTGCAAGACTCTTCAGTCAGTGACTTTTGGTAGGAATTCGCATGAGACAAATCCTCATATTCTGTTCTTATTCTGGAGGTACACAAAAATACCTTTTGCCCAGATCTCCTTATCTTCATTCCTCCAATTGTGTATCTTTCAAGTCATTGAATTTCCAGTGACAATCACTAGTGACTGTCAATATGATCCATATTTTTGGCCATCTCTCCTTCCAGGCAGAGTGGGCAAGCAGACCAATATACTGCTTGAAGTCCTGCTCAGTAGAAGTATTTCATTTCCTTACTGTCATCTCAGACCACCTCTGAGTTGGGCCATAATTATGCATCAATTCACTTCCATCTGTGTCAGCATATCACTCAGAATCATATGTAAACCAGGCCTGAATTTTTTTTCTTCCTCAGTCAGGGGGAACGCCCCATGAGGTCAGAAGTATGAGTTGAAGGACAGGCAGCAATGCAATAACAGTACATTTCATGAGAGCCTAAACCTCAATTCATGCAAATCACATATTCAGTATCTCTTTGAGCTCAGTCTCCTACCACTATCACTTTATAATGGGGTTTCACTGTTGATGTCCAACTTTAGAGCTTTTGGGATCAGATACATCCAGTTCATGATACTCATCTCAGATTGCCTGGTCATTTGATGTCCCATGGTCAGATATTTAATCTCTACCAGCACTGAGTGGCAAGAAAGATGCCATTTCTAAAAAGGTGAATGAATATCTACATAGCTTTGTTTTAAAATCTTACAAGCATGTATTATCATTCTTGTATGGGGATTTGCCAGAAGCTCCATGGAACAGCCCTAAAAGTCACAGACCTGCTGATTCATATGGCCTAAATGGTAAAATAACTTGTACTGTAACCTGGACCAGCTTCAGAGTCTTCTTTTGCTCTGAGCTCCATTCAAAACTCAGTAAATGGGCAAAGCAAATCACACAAATTAGATATATGTTGGCTCCAGATCCAAAGGAGGTCTACAAAATAACCACTTGTTTAATGCTAGTGGGTGGAAGATACATCAAGTTAACTTTTACTTTGGAGGAGAGATCTCAGTATATCCCGAACCCCAGGACCTTGGGAACCCAATACATTTTCATGGGATTTATCTCCTCCCCCAGCACAAATGTGTCTTAATAAAGTTTTGCAATAGATCTATAAGCATGATTTCATATATTATGTAGCCTAGATTATGACAGACAGCCACAGAGCTGAAAGCAACAGTGAATTTTTTTTTTTTTTTGTCTTAATAATGCAACAGCAAATTGCTTCTTGGTTGGAATAGAGAGAATAAAGCATTTGCCAGAGCAATAGCTGCATACTAGGTATCAGAGATTTTGTTGTTTTGATCCAGTAAAGAGATTACATATATAAAAGCAGCAGCATTTCCTGTCACCACCTGATTAAGTTTATGAAAATTGGCTGGGCACGGTGGCTCATGCCTGTAAACCCAGCACTTTGGGAGGCCAAGGCAGGTGGGTCACTTGAGGTCAGGAGCTCAAGACCAGCCTGGCCAACATGGTGAAACCCCATCTCTACTAAAAATACAAAAATTAGCCAGGTGTGGTGGCACTCACCTGTAATCCAAGCTACTTGGGAGGCTGAGGCAGGAGAATCACTTGAACCCGGGAGGTGGAGGTTGCAGACAGCCAGTATCAAGCCATGGCACTCCAGCCTGGGCAACAGGGCAAGGCTCCATCTAAAAAAAAAAAAAAAACTTTATGAAAATCCTCTATCACTCTCCAAAAGCCTACTACCATCATCACAAGCTAAATCTACACTCTTGCATCCCTCAAGACTTTCATGGTGACATTAATCTCCACAGACCTCACAGATGCACTATTGCTTTTGATTTAACATTTCGGTTGGTCAGAGTAATTCTAGTGGTTTCTCCTTGGCCCTTTTCACATTAGCCATCATTCTACAGGCAATGGAGCCAATTTGAAGAGTCTGTTAGTTTTCAAGTGTTTTCTGGGGAACTACGAATTCAGAAATAAAGAGAATTACCATAGGGTTCTTTGTGTGGACCCACTTGGCCCACTGTGAGAAGAAATTAGACCAAAGCTCCATATAACATCTAATGTCTATAAATTTCCACTCTATTCGGCCAAAGAGCATTTGAGTTCTCCAGGAATTAGCATCAACTCTTAAGTCTGTCCCAGTAATCCCAGAAAAATCTGGATGTTGCCCTCTTTCCAGTACACAGATAACCTATCAAACAGCCTCTAGTGACTTTGAGGAAGGCAAAGTGGAAAATTAACAGTATACTCTACTGGTAGAACTGTAGAATTGTTCCTCAAGGAGACGACCTTGCTCATATCTCAAAATCGGATGTCTATTCCTGCACCAGTTCCACAGTGTTTCTATTAATATAGCTTTATAATGTGTCTTCAAAACTGATGAAGTAATTCCTAATATTGTCAAAGATTATTTTGGCCATTCTTATACATTTGCTTGTCCTAATGAATTTTGGACTCCATTTGGCAAAGTACACACACACACACATACACACACACAAATCCTATTAGTATTTTTATTGAGATTGTTTGTTTGGATTTATAAATTAATTAAGGGAACACTTAGATTTTTGTAGCACAAAGTCATCTCATCAGTGAACATGATGCACCTACTTATTTGGAAATTTTATATCTTCTATTAAATTTTGTAATGTTCTCAGTAGAGGTCTTGCACATTTTTATTAGTTTTATTTCTAATTGGTCTCATCCCCAAAAATTAAGGTTTATTATAAGCTCACATTCTCATCCATCTACTCCCTTCTCCCCTTTATAGTCAAACTTCTAGAAAAGTCCACACTACATGTTTCCATTTACTCACTTCACTTCCTCTTAAACATAATGCAATTTGGATTCAATGAGCCCCACTTCATCAAAACTGCTCAGTCACCAAGGAAATGCATAACGAAAAACTCAAAAAGTCTTTTCTCAATTCTTATTTTGCTTAACTTTAAAAAAAATTTACAGATTTAAAATTTTCATAAATTCACTTATTATAATTTATATTTCTATGTATTTTGACACATTCATAGAACATCATCACAGTCATATACAAAACAGTTTCATCAGGCTAGGCACAGTGGCTCTCACCTGTAATCCCAGCACTTTAGGAGGCCAAGACGGGCAGATCACCTAAGGTCTGAAGTTCAAGACCAGCCTGGCCAACTTGGTGAAACCCCATGTCTACAAAAATTAGCTGGGAGTGGTGGCCTGCACCTGTAATCCCAGCTGCTCAGGAGGCTGAGACAGGAGAATCGCTTGAATCCAGGAGGGCAGAGGTTGCAGTGAACTGAGATCATGCTGCTGTACTCCAGCCTAGGAAACAGAGCAAGACTCCATCTCAAAAAAAAAAAAAAAGTTTCATCTCTCCCCAAATTCCTTCCTGCTGCCTCTTTATGGTGAGCCTCCATCTCTACCCTACTCCTGGCAACCACTGATTTGTCTCCCATCTTAATATTTTTGCCTTCTCTAGAATGTTAAATAAGTGAAATCATACAATATAAATGTTTTGCTTCTATCTTCTTTCACTTTCACAAAATATATTTGAGATTCATTCATGTTGCTACATGAATCCATATTTCCCAACTTTTATTGCTAAGAATTCCAATGTATAGATACACCACAAATTGCTAATTCATTTATTCAAGTTTGAGTTGTTTCCAGGTTTTGACAATTACTAATAAAGCTGCAATGAACATTCATGTACAGATTTCTATGTGAACATAACCTTGCATAAATCTTGGGTAAATATCTGAGAGTCAGACTGCTGCATTATGAAAAGCATGTTCTTATATGATAGAATATATGATGGCAAATCATAAATGTTTAAATGATTAAACCTGCTTAAGTCAACAAGGTTGTCAAACTGTTTTTCAAAGTGGCTGTGACAGCAAAATATTAGGATTCCAGTTGATCTACATCCTCACCAACATTTGGTAATATCAGGAATTTTTCCCTATTCTCATAGGTATTTTGGACATTTCACTGTGATCATACTTTGCATTTCCATAATGAGTGCCATATCTTTTCATATGCTTATTTACCATCAACATATCTTTTTGAGTTGATTTGTGTATATTTTTTGCTTTTTTAATTGTTGAATTTTGAGCATTCTTTATATATTCTGAACACAAGTTTTTGTCGTTGGTGGTGGTGGTGGTTTTTTTGGTCAGAAATGTGACTTTAAATGTTTTCTCCCAGTCTGTAGGTTTGTCTTCATTTTCCACCAGTGTCTTTTTCAGAGCAAAAGATTTTAATGTTAATTGTTGGACTTTTCAGCAGCATTTGACATACTCACCTTTCAGGTCTCAGCTTCAGAAGGCTTAGCTGAATTAGCCTTCTTCAATATTTTTATCTCACTAAATTTCTACCATGCTACCCTCTATATTTTCTTTATGGCACCTCTTACATGTTGTAATTATTTTATTCATGTATTATGTTTCTTATGTATATTCCCCACGGAGTTGTAAACTCCATGAGTATTAAGTGGCCGTGTCTGCTGTTTCACAATAGTACTCTCAGTGACTAACAGAGAATCTGGCAAATAGTTATGGGAAGGAGGAAGGGACAGTAGGTCTTGAAGGAAAGGTCAAAGGTTATTCTGAGAATTTTAGCTCAAGAAATTGGCTAATTGTTAATAATTTAAATGAAAATCGAATATAGGCAGGAAGAGATGGCTTGAGAAAAAAGTTAATACATTTATTTAAGGCCTACTAATTTTAAATACCGGGAGACATGGTGGTATCTGCCAAATTTCTCCATGTAATTTTTCCCATTATTAATAAGTACGTTAGGGGAAATAATTTGAGACTATACAAATATCTTATTTTTCCTCAAACTTTTGTCCACTGATTTTGGAATCCTTCCACATATTTTACCTGCAACAATCGTGTTTGTCTAATGGAAATTTTAAAGTTTCCTCATTCTTTTCTCATATATTAATTGGATTTTTCTATAAAAAATAAACTTTCCTTTCTCTCTCAAATATTTATTCAACTATTCCAAATCATATTCCTTCTGTTCGCCTTATTTGCCAGGCAAGTGAGGATTTAGCAAAACAACAAAAGAAGAGCAAATACCGTTTAAAAAGACAAATCACAAAGAATTTTCAAATTTTTCACATTAGCCTGTCAAACCGGATGAACTGGTCAAACAACAAAAAAGTTAGATTAAGATGAGGCACACAAATACCATTGATCAAAGCAACATGAGTCCATAGAAAACAAAGTTACCACAAAAAGACAAAAGTGCTTACTGACTGTGTGTGGTGTCTTAAGATCAAAAGGTAAGTCAATGCATTTTGATAACTAATGTTCACTTTGTTCCTCTCCGACCCTTACTGGGTAGAGTTTCTATATACAAGAAGAAATTAACTGCTTTATTTCAAAATGGGTAGTGGGTTTTTTTCTCTTTTTTTTAAATCAACTTTTATTGTATTCAAAACAATGGATAGTGGTTTAAATGGTTTATTTGAGCTGAGGCTTTTTCCCTCCAACCAAGACATCTATTATTTTTCAGAGAAAACCCAACCAATACATTGTTAGGTTGAAGCAGCATAAATACTGATACCATCAAATGTTTCTGCCTTAAGAAAGATTATTTCCATGCCTGCATCAATAATCTTTTTTTTTGGAAAATAGGTTGTCTTTGCAACAGATTGGTATACTGTGAAAAACAAACAAACAAATAAACAAACAAAAAATCCACATCATTTGTCTGTAAGGAGAATAAGCATTGATTTTGGAAATAAGCCACAATTTCTTGGGTGACCTAAGAACAAGTCACCAAACTTGCCTCAACCTGATTTTCCCATCTATGAAACAGTAATAGTTTTTACCTACCTCATTAAGCGATGTCAGACATTAATTAATGTTCGTAATGGGCTTGAGATCTATGATTAAAAGCTGTCATCATTGATGGAAAACAGAGCCATTCAACTGTTGAGGAGGAGTAAACAAATCAGAGAAGATGTGTAGTCCATGAGAAGAGATATTGAAGAGTGAAAAATTAGTCAGGAAAGCGGAAATGGAGACTGAGTCAAAAATCTCAACTGATCTATAAGTATTTATGATTTTTTCCCATGGAATTAAGTAATATACCTCCCTAATGTCTCAAGAGGAACTAGTCTTTCCTACACTAAGATTCTTAACCTTTTAGTGCCATGGAGCCTTTAAATATTTTAGCAAAGCCTATGGACTATTCTTGTAATCATTTGTAAATGGTTTTAGAAATATGCAAGATTACGAAAGAAACCAATTTTATCAAGACACAGTTTTCAAAATGTTTTCAAATGTAATTTTAGAGTAATATATATGCTTCTTTATTAAATTAAATGAAATCTCAGTCTGGTAACTACCATAATTTTAAAGGAGTGATGATTATAAACAACACTTTGAGATATTTGCAGCAACTCCAATGCAATATAAAAAATTCTGTGTTTTCTACTGATGACAAAGTTAGGGGAATTATTCTTAATACTGTGCTATGTTGTCTACATTTACAATTTTTTTAATGTTAGGTTTAATTAGGAGTTACTGAAAATAAAGATGTATTTTACCCCACCCAAGTTCGTGAACCCTTTAGATTTTATTCATAGGTTCTTTTGGGATATTTGGATCTCAGGTTACAAGAAACCCTATTCTATACTTATCCTAGAATTTCTAGGGTAATACTAAGAAATAAATATTTCTCAATGTGTAATCAGGTAATCACAGATACAAGTGTTTATTAAAATGCAAATATGTTGGCCTTTTCCTAGACTTACTAAATCAAAACTAGGGCTGGAGAATAGCTGTGAATCCCTATTTTTAGTAAGTACCCAGCTGACTGACTTATATACTAAAGTTTGAGAATTGCTACAAAGTTGATTACCTCAATAGTCATCTTCAGTGGAATCATAGTTATCAAGCCAGAGAGTCTCAAATGTTAGTTTGAGATATTATAACACAGTAGCTCTGAAAGGGATTAAGAAATTTTAATTTTTCAACAGGCACTTCAAATATTACGAGGAATATATTCTCAATTCCATTAGGAGAAATATTCCTAACCAAAGACATTAAAAGTCCAAGTAAAAAATCTGCCTGAAAATGAGAGGTGCTGCTGAGCAGCTTCACATCAGAATCTTCATAACAGTACTCCACTCCTTTTCCTTTTCTGCACCAATTAACATTCTTTAAAAGAGTGTCCTTACATAGAACAGTTAAATACAGAATCAATGCATTATGTCACAGAAGATACAAAGGAACAGTGGCACTTTTTTCTGCATTTAAAACATCATGCACTAAACTGGTAGGCAAAAATTTGTCATCAACATGAAAAGCAATAATTATAGAGTAATAGGGTTGCAGAAGATCTAAAGATCATCTCAAGCTTTCAGTTACTACCTTTTTTGCTTCTGCCTCACAAATCTTTATCCCTATCCAGAACTCTCTGTAATTTGATTTCAGACCAGTATATCCAACCGCCTGCTAGACATCTATTCCTGAATATTACAGACAGCTACAATCCAAAACTGAAATCATCACTTTCTCTCTTATATTGTTTGTCTGGGGTTTTGGTACCCCCATCTTACAAGGCATTCAGAAGTTATCCTGGACTTCTTCCTAATTTTTTCTTTGCTAGGAGACACTGCGACACTTTTGGGGTGTCTGACCAACTTTAAAGCGTCAGCAGTGGCCTAGCATCCCTTAAGTCTGCATTTTTCTTTCTTTCTTTTTTCTTTTCTTTTTTTTTTGAGATGGAATCTCACTCTGTCACCCATGCTGGAGTGCAGTGGCGCAATCTCAGCTCACTGCAACCTCTGCCTCCCGGGTTCAGGCAATTCTCCTGCCTCAGCCTCCTGATTAGCTGGGACTATAGGCACATACCACCATGCCCAGCTAATTTTTGTATTTTTAATAGAGACGGGGTTTCACCATGTTGGTCAGGCTAGTCTCAAACTCCTGACCTCGGGTGATACACCTGCCCCAGCTTCCAAAAGTTCTGGGATTACAGGCGTAAGCCACCGCACCCAGTCAAGTCTGCATTTTTAGAGTGCCAGTCTCCAATATGTCTAATGTTGTAAGATGGACATAGTGCTTGGATGCTGTGTATCCTTCTGATACAGCTTTCGTGCCCCAAACTAACTCCAAAAACACAACTACAGTCCTAGGAAAGTGTAGGAGATTATGTTTTACATGAGTTCAGATTTAGGCCTCTTTAAGAAATGCCTTTCATGCCTATGATTCATTTTTCTTTGTATTCATCTTTACTTTCCCCTCACTCCATTCAAGTCATAGGATTTCCAGATCTCAATTTAGGGTGTAGTTCTTGGTGAACACTCTTTCAGTCTGCCTCTGACATAAAGAAGAGAAATCCTTGGGGGCCCACAAAGTCCTGATTGAATCACGAGTAGAGTACCTTGGGATTGGAGTCCAAAGCCCAACCTAGTAGTGTATGACTCAGAAGTTGGAATTCTAGCCAGGTGCGGTGGCTCATGCCTGGAATCCCAGCAGTTTTGAGAGGCTGAAGTGGGATTGTTGAGTCCAGGAGTTCAAGACCAGCTTGAGCAACATAGTGAGACCCTGTCTCTACAAAAATAAAAAATTAGTCCAGTGTGCTGGTATGTGCCTATAGCCCCAGCTACTTGGGAGGCAGAGATGGGAGGATCACTTGAGCCCAGATCATTGCACCACTGCACTCCAGCGTGGACAACAGAGCAAAACCTTGTCTCAAAAAATTTAAAAAATTTTTAAGAAGCCGAATTTGGAATTCTGATCACCAACATCTCGTGTAGTTAAACTGATCAAAGTGCATACACAGCTAAGGTTTAGGAGGTAAGATCACTAAAGAATCTTAAACTTTAAGGACTGTTGTCCTATTTATGGATAAATCCCCACAAGAAGAGAAAGGCTAATGCACAAGTATGGGATCCAGTAAGTAGACCATTGTCTTGGTGAAGACGAGGATTCAGTTCTAGGGTGTCTGGCTGACCTCAAGACAGAGCCTCAGCATGTAAACTTCTGACTTAAAAATACCAAGTACTGCTGGATTGCTCTGTGTTCTCCACTCCAAGGTCAATTTTCTTCTTCATCCTATTCCTCAGCCAGGGTTGAAGGAGTAATATTCAATGCTAGAGAAAATAGGCAAATTCCTCCTGGAACAGGAAAATGGGTTGCAGAAAAGAATGCCTGCATCAGCCTGAGAAGAACAACTTTAACCAAGGTTTAGTGATTTCAACACTGAAGAAAGGTGAGATTTAGGGAATGAGACTCCGCAGAGATAACATCCTTCTCAACGAGCCCCTGTATGCACAGTGCTGGAAGAACTTGGAGCAAAGAAAGCTAGGGTTCTGCTGGGATTAAAGTAGCTCATAGTGGCCTCCGTTCACATGTTACTGAACTCATATTTAGTGGAAGATGGCCTAGAATATACCTTAGAGGAAAAGACTTAGGCTGAAACATGCCCTGGGTTAGTCCCAACAGTGGGACTGCATGGATTTAAAAGAAAATGTGCATGGTTGCAGGCAAACAGGAGGGAGATATGCAAGAGGGCCTGAGACACTGAATCTGATATTAGAGCTTTGATTTATCTGTGGGAACAGAGAATTGGCTTGATATTGGGAAAAGATTTGTACTGTTAAAATGTATAAGGTATATACAGAAAATAACTGACATTATGTGGTGCAGACATCAAGGGCTCAGTATATACTATAGTGATTGAGAGGTGGATTTTGGAGTCAGACCATCTGGGTTTTAATACTACTTTCTCTATGGGCAAGTCTCTTAACCTCTTTTCTTCTCTTAAAAGTAGAAAAAATAGCCGGGCGCGGTGGCTCAAGCCTGTAATCCCAGCACTTTGGGAGGCCGAGACGGGTGGATCACGAGGTCAGGAGATCGAGACCATCCTGGTGAACACAGTGAAACCCCGTCTCTACTAAAAATACAAAAAAACTAGCCGGGCGAGGTGGCGGGCGCCTGTAGTCCCAGCTACTCGGGAGGCTGAGGCAGGAGAATGGCGTGAACCCGGGAGGCGGAGCTTGCAGTGAGCTGAGATCCGGCCACTGCACTCCAGCCTGGGTGACAGAGCGAGACTCCGTCTCAAAAAAAAAAAAAAAAAAAAAGTAGAAAAAATAATTATACCTACCCATAAATTAGTTGTGAGGATTACATGCACTGACATATGTAGAAAACATAGAATTGTGTTTAGCACATACTAGCTGTAAAAATGTTAGCTATAATCACTGTATTATAGTGTGGTAAGTTTGTTGGGCAATTAATAGCTGAGCATACTTTATTTTTATTTATTTATTTATTTATTTTTGAGATGGAGTTTCACTCTTGTCACCCAGGCTGGACTGAAATGGCATGATCTTGGCTCACTACAATCTCTGCCTCCTGGGTTCAAGCGATTCTCCTGCCTCAGCCTCCCAAGTAGCTGGGATTACAGGCATGTGCCACCACGTCCAGTTAGTTTTGTACTTTTAGTACAGATGATGTTTCACTATGTTGGTCAGGCTGGTTTTGAACTCCTGACCTCAGGTGATCCACCCACCTCGGCCTCCCAAAGTGCTGGGATTACAGGTGTGTGCCACTGTGCCTGGCCTGAGCATACTTTAAAATATGGAAAGAATCACATCTAGAGGCACATGCCAGAAAGAGTAAAAAATTTAAAAAAAGAAAAAGCAAAATAAAACAAGGATAGGAATAGAAGGAGACTGCTTTGCCTAATGCAGGCTACAAAGGAAATAGCAAGCCCACATACTTGTAGGGGACAGGTAACTTGCACAAATATATGTAGACAATGTGTATTAGTCAGAGTCATCAGAAAGACAGATATAATAGGATATGTACATAGACATATGAAGGGATTTATTAAGGGAATTGGCTCACATAATTATGGAGGGTGGGAAGTCTCCCAACGGGCCATCTGCAAACTGGAGGCTCTGGGATGCTGGTAGCATGGCTTAAACCAAGTCTGAAGGCATCAAAATCAGGAAAGCCAATGGTGTAACTCTCAGTTGGAGGCTGAATGCCTGAGAATCTGGGAGCTGCTGGTGTTAAGTCCTGGAGTCCAAAGGCCGGAGCCTGGAGTTCTGATATCCAAGGATAGGAGAGGTCCTGGAGTTCTGATATCCAAGGATAGGAGAGGAAGAATGAAGCCCAGCTCTAGGAAATAGATGGACATATTTGTCTTTCCTCTGTTTTTGTTCTCCAGCCCTGGCAAATTGGATGGTGCCTGCCCACGTTGAGGGAGGGTCTTCCTCACCTAGTCCACTCACACTCACATGCTAATCTCTTCTGTAAACACCCTCACAGACACACCCCAAAATCATGCTTTACCAGGTTTCTATGTATTCAGTAATCCAGTCAAGTTGACACCTAAAAGTAAACATTACAAGGTGTATTGGGGAGTTCAGAGACAGGAAAATAAAGTAGCGAAACGTAGAATCTAGAAGAGGTATTTGGCTTTTGCAAATCAGAGTAAGCATGTCTATTGCCTCAGGGCATTCACATTCAGTATTTAATTATCAAAAGTGCTAACCAAATTAAACAGTTTTTGGATCATTCTAAGAGGCTAGCTCCCAGTTGGCCACATACATAGTTTTGAGTTGTCATATGTCATTTCAGTTAAAATATTGTCCTATCCTATTTCTGATGTGTCTAGGGGAAACACCAGGCCTTGAGTGGGCTATATGGCCCATCTCTGGATGATGCAAAGGAGCTGTGGTAAGGATTATAAACAGTTAGGAAATTTTTTTTTTTTTCTTTGAGACAGGGTCTCGCTTTGTCGCCCAGGCTGGACTTCAATGGTGTGAACTGAATGGTGTGAACTGAATGGATGACTGCAACTTCCACCTCCTGGGCTCAAGTGATCCTCACACCTCAGCCCCCTAAGTAGCTGAGATTATAGGTGTGCACCACCATGTCTGGCTAATTCTTATATATTTTCTAGTGACAGAGTTTCCCCACTTTGCCCAGTTTGGTCTTGAACCCGTGAGATCAGGCAATCTACCTGTCTTGGCCCCTCAAAGTGCTGGGGATTACAGGCATGAGCCACTGTGCCTGGCCCAGTTAGGGTATTTCTAATACTCTGATCTCATTTGAATGAAACAGCAACATCCCATGGTTGGAGTATTAAATTCATGTGGGTTAACAGGAGGACAAAATAAAAGCTACTGGCTGTACACTTGAGGGAACTCAAGGTGTTTCTTGCCTCACTTTGCCTCCAAAAGAGGATACCTACTGATAACAGAAGTAAGCAACAATGCTGGGGGCTGGAGTTTTTTATGTCACTAGTGAAAAGGTTAAAGCAGTACTTTCTCAACCTTTTTCAGTTTATGCCACAGCCTGCAGTGACTGGGATGAAATTCTTTCATCCTCCTACCTGCCCCAAAGGCACACTCTGACCCTTTTCTTTGAGAAGCACTCTTTAAAGTTCCTTGAATGCATGTGGTATTGCACCTGGCTTTTCCTCACTCAGTTTTTTTTCTATAAACCTTGCTTTCTTTATGGGTAAGTAGTAGATGGCCTTAGGGTTCCTCCTAATTGAGAAAGTGGTGTCTCCTTTTCTTTTTTCTCTTCCATTCCTAAACCTTCCCTTTTTAAAAGTTCACTTCAGAAAGAATTCAAAGAGATCTATTTGAACTTGTTGGTCTTCAAGAAAAACATATTTTCGCTTGTGATATACTTTTGCTTGTGACAGTTCTTTGTTTTTTGTTTGTTTGTTTGTTTTAAGTTCTGGGATACATGTGCAGAATGTGCAGGTTTGTTACATAGGTATACGTGTGCCATAGTGGTTTGCTGAACCCATCAACCCATCACCTGGTTTTAAGCCCCACCTGCATTAGGTATTTGTCCTAATGCACTCCCTCCCCTTGTCCCCCAGTTCTCTTTTTTCTTAAAACTTTTATTTTAAGTTTGGGGGTACATGTGCAGGTTTGTTACACAGCTAAACTCATGTCACAGAGATTTGTTGAACAGATTATTTTATCACTCAGGAACTAAGCCTAGTACCCATTAGTTATTTTTCCTGATCCTGTGCCTCCTCCCACCCTCCACCCTCTCAGGCCCCAGTGTGTGTTGGTCCCCTATGTGTGTACACATGTTCTCATAATTTAGCTCCCACTTATAAGTGAGAATGTGCAGTATGAATTTTCTGTTCCTGAGTTAGTTTGCTAAGGATAATGGCTTCCACCTCCAAACATGTCCCTGCAAAGGACATGACCTCATTCATTTGTATGGCTGCCTAGTTTTCCATGGCATATATGTACCACACTTTCTTTATCCAGTCTATCATTGATGGGAATTTAGGTTGAGTCCACTTCTTTGCTATTGTGAACAGTGCTGTAATGAACATACACATGCATGTGTCTTTATAACAGAACGATTTATATTCCTTTGGGTATATACCCAATAATGGGATTGCTAGGTCTAATGGTATTTCTGTCTTTGAGGAATCACCACACTGTCTTCCACAATGCCAATCTTTTACCATCTCTAAGTCATTAAGAGCCCAAACTAGTGTCTGGGTTTATGAGAAAATGGTCAAGAATGACAGGTGGAGGGCCGGGCACGGTGGCTCACGCCTGTAATTCCAGCACTTTGGGAGACCGAGGTGGGCAGATCACGAGGTCAAGAGTTTAAGACCAGCCTGGCCAACATGGTGAAATCCCATCTCTACTAAGAATACAAAAATTAGCCAGGTGTGGTGGTGTGTGCCTGTAATCCCAGCTACTCGGGAGGCTGAGGCAGGAGAATCACTTGAACCCGGGAGATGGAGGTTGCAGTGAGCCAAGATCGTGCCAAGATCGTGCCACTGTACTCCAGCCTCTGCAACAGAGCAAGACTCTGTCTCAAGAAAAACAAACAAAACAGAATGATAGGTAGAAATTAGGAAAGTGTGTAAAGTTTCTTCTGCTAAGAACTGTACAATTTTATTTAATACTCAATATACTAATATATCTCCACACCCAGGCAGATCACTTGAGGCCAGGAGTCTGAGACCAGCCTGGCCAATATGGTGAAACCCTGTTTCTACTGAAAATACAAAAATTAGCCGGGCATGGTGGCGCATGCCTGTAATCCCAGCTACTCAGGTGGCATGTATCAGTAGTCCCAGCTACTTGGGAGGCTGAGGTGGTAGAATTCTTTGAGCCCAGAAATTCAAGTCCAACCTGGGCAACATAGAGAGACCCTGCCTCCAAATAAAAATAATTTTTTAAAAAATCAAATATATAAAATATCTAATGAATGTGCAATGCAGATGACTTCAGCAGACTCCAATTCTACTAGGAAACCTGTAGAGCTGAGATAGTAATTATTCATTTGTCTCTCTAATATCTCAACACAGCTTAGAAATCAAAAGATGAGGAGCAATATTAAATTTGGTATTCAACTTAAGGTTTACATTAATGCTATCAAATGACTTTTATTAATTTAATACTTATAAGATTGGTTTTTCACAGATCAATTTTCCTTTTACTATTATTATTATTTTAAATTTTTATAGACTTAGAGTACAAGTGAATTTTTGTTCGTTTCTTTGGTTGGTTGGTTTTTTTGAGACAGGATCTTGCCTGTTGCCAGGCTGGAGTGCAGTGCTGGAGTGCACAGCTCACAGTAACTTCGAGCTCCCAGGTTCAAGCAATCTTCTCACCTTGGCCTCTTGAGTAGGTGAGACCACAAGGTGGGACCTCTTGAGTAGGTGGGATCACCACACACAGCTAATTGTTTAAAAAAAAAAAAAAGTTTTTAGAGACTGGGTCTCCCTATGTTGCCCAGCAGGTCTTGAACCCCTGGGCTCAAGGGATCCTCACACCTTGGCCTCCCAAAGTGCTGGGACTACAGGTGTGAGCCACTGGCCCAGCACAAGTGCCAATTTGTTACACGGATATACTGCATAGTGATGAAGTCTGGGCTTTTAATGATCCCATTATCCTAATAGTGTACATTATATTCATTAGGCAATTTCTCATCCTTCACCCTCTACTTCCACCTTCCTACCTTTCCAAGTCTCCAACATCTGTTATTCCTCTCTCTATGTCCATGTATACATATTATTTAGCTCCCACTTACTAGTGAGAACATGAAGTATTTGGCTTTCTGTTTCTGAGTTACTTCACTTAAGATAATAGCCTCCAGTTCCATCCATTGCTATTGCATAAAACATGATTGCATGTATTTTTATGGATGAGTAGTATTCCATGGTATATATGTAACATTTTCTTTATTCAACCATCCACTGATGGACACTTAGGTTGGTTCCACATATTTGTTATTGTGAATAGTGCTGCAATAAACATGAGTGCAGGTAGATTTTGATATAATGATTTCTTTTCTTGTGGGTAGATACCCAGTAGTGGGATGTTGGATTGAATGGTAGTTCTATTTTTAGTTCTTTGAGACATCTCCATACTGTTTTTCACAGAGGCTGTACTAATTTACATCCCCACCAACAGTGTATAAGCGTCCTCTTTTCTCGCATCCTCACCAACATGTTTTGTTTTTTTTTTTTCGTTTTTAATAGCAGCCATTTTTCACTCCTGTAATCTCAGCACTTTGGGAGGCTGAGGCAGGAGGATTTAGACAGAGTCTCAACATAGACAGGATCTTACTATGTTGCATAGGCTGGTCTCAAACTCCTGGGCTCCAGCCAGACTCTTGGGCTTGAGCCCAGGATATCGAGACCAGCCTGGGTAACATAGTGAAACCCTGCCTCTACAAAAAATAATAAGTTAGCTCAGCATGGTGATATGTGCCTGTAGTCCCAGCTACTTGCAAGGCTGAGGTGGGTGCATCAGTTGAGTGTGGGAGGTTGAGGCTGCAGTGAGCTGTGATCACATCACTGCACTCCGCCCTGGGTGATAGAGCAAAATTGATATGGTTAGGCCTTCTGTCACTACTCAAATCTCATCCTGAATTATAATCCCCATAATACCCATGTCTCAAGGGTGAGACCAGGTGGAAGTAAGTGAATCAAGGGGTTGGTTCCCCCATGCTGTTCTCATGATAGACAGTGAGTTCTCATGAGATCTCATGGTTTTATATGGGGCTCTTCCCTCTTCCCTCGGCACTTCTCCTTCCTGCCACCTTGTGAAGAAGGTTCCTGCTTCCCCTTTGCCTTCTGTCATGATTGTAAGTTTCCTGAGTCCTCCCCAGCCATGCTGAACTGTGAGTCAATTAAACCTGTTTCCTTTATAAATTACCCAGTCTCAGGCAGTTTTTTATAGCAGTATGAAAACAGATTAATACAAAGTCCTTGTCCCTGAAAACAAAAACAAATAAACAAAACAAAACAACAACAACAAAAACAAAATAAAACCAATCCCAGACATTCTGACTGGTGTTAGATGATATCTCATTATGGTTTTAATTTATACTTCTCTGATGATTAGAGCATTTTTTCATATGCTCCTTGGCCATTTGTATGTCTTCTTTTGAAAAATAGCCCACTTTTTAATGGGTTTTTTTCTTTTTCTTTCTCTTTTCTTTTTCTTCTTTTTTTTTTTTTTTTGAGACTGAGTCTCACTCTGTTGCCAGGCTGGAGTGCAGTGGTGCAATCTCGGCTGGCTGCAACCTCCGCCTCCTGGGTTCAAGTGATTCTCCTGCCTCAGCCTCCCAAATAGCTGGGACTACAGGTGCGTGCCACCATATCCAGCTAATTTTTGTAGTTTTAGTAGAGACGGGATTTCATCATGTTGGCCAGGATAGTCTCGATCTCTTGACCTTGTGATCCACCCACCTCGGCCTCCCAACGTGCTGGGATTACAGGCTTGAGCCACCATGCCCCACTGGAGTAGATTTTTTCTTGTCAAATTGTTTGAGTTTCTTATAGTTTCTGGACATTAGTCCTTTGCTGGATGCAAAGTTTGAAAATATTTTCTCCTATTCTGCAAGTTTTCAGTTCACTATGCTGACTCTTTTGCTGTACAGAAGCTTTTGAGTTTAAGTCCCATTTTTCTATTTTGTTGTTGTTGCATTAGCTTTTGAGGTCTTAGTCATGAATTCTTTGCCTAGGCCAATGTTCAGAAGAGTTTTTCCTAGGTTTTCTTCTAGAATTTTTATTGTTTCAGGTCTTACATTTAAGTCTTTAATCTATCTTGAATTAATTTTTGTATACAGTGAAATAAAGGGAGGATCGCTTGAGTCCAGGAGGTGGAGGTTGCCGCAAGCCAAGACTGCTCCACTGTACCCCAGTCTGGGCGACAGAGTGAGACCCTGTCTTAAAAAGAGAGAGAGAGAGAGAGAGAGAGAGAGAGAGGGAGAGAGAGAGAGAGAGAGAGAGACACTACTAATCCAGACAGGAGATTAAGATGGTTTCAAAATGGTGAAAAGTTCTGGATTTCGGATATTTATTGAAGGTGAGTCTAAAAGAATTAGTAATTGATTGGATGTGGTTATGAAAAAAGAAAAATTAACAATTACTCCAAATTACAAATTCCTTCTTTTACTTAGACTTTACTTCAGTCAAAGATGCTTCCACCTGTCTTTCATTCTTCCTGCCTGCCTGCTTTCCTCCTCCTTTTACTCCTCTCTTTTTCACTCAGAATCAGACTTTCATTGCATTCCAGCTCCATTTTTCTCTCCTTATTTTACAACAGCATTCTTAAGAAATGAAATTGTCACTTGTTCCACATTACTGCAAAAAACAAAAACAAAAACAAAAACACAGAAATTCAGTCATTTGTTCAATGAGAGGATCTTTAGAAATAATAACAACAACAATAATAGCTGCATTCATCAGGAGGGTCTAGGTTATGTTGCTATCATGGAA